TTGAGCAGCCCGCTGTCAACCAGCCCCCTTGAACAGAGGTGGTAACGGGGGCTCCTCTTCCATCATATCCACCCAGCTTGTGGAGGCTCGTGGCTGATGGTTGTCACCTGCATCTACAGGTGTGCCCGACCCGAGGCCTGGGTCCCGGCCATTAAACCTACTTTCCCTTATCTTCTCCAGCATGGAGGAGCAGTGAGGACATGTCTGAGGGTTAGCCAGCGATGCCTGGGCGTGAGCAGCATCCATGCAAGCTATGCACATAGGATGAGGGTCCCTGCCTGAAATAGAAGCCCCACATGATGCCGGGCACAGGCGGGATGCAGCCTCTTTAGCCTTCGGTTCCGACCCGTCCGTCGGGGCAGGGGTGGAAGCCATAGCTGACAATCTGACTCGTCGTGACACGTTAGTCTGAAAAAGCGTAGCAAGCCAGTTAGCAGGTGTAAGTCTGCAACTAAAGCTATATTTCATCTGTAGGGCAACTCGTCGTGACACGTTAGCTGCAACAAAGTAGCTCATTAGCAAATAAATGCTAAATAAGCACAGGACAAGCTCGCCTCAGCGCGCTAGCTTGGGCCACACTCGCTAATACTACTCCGTCAATGACGATGTAGCCGTAGGAGCAGTTCGCCGTGACGCGTTGACTGTTCCTAGTTAAATGTGACAAGTGACTTAGAAGCACTTACTCAGCTCAAATCCAGACTGCGTTGGGACTGCATTCGGCGACGTATCCTGACGGTACGCCTGGGAACAGTTAAGCAGCTAACCAAAGATAGCCTGAAAATCGCTGAGGGAGCAAAGTGTAGTTTCTCATGGGAAGAAAGCGAGAATGAGTAGGAGGGGTTGATTGGCCGTGTATATACTGGGTGGGCGGAGCCTGGGCACGGCGCAACCAGTCTGTCAGGGACAGACGTGATGTCATTGGAGCTTCCGTAGTTGGTCACGCCAGGGCAATTCCCATAGTGAAACACCGAACGAAGTTAGAAAAAGAACCAATCAGAGTCCGCTTTGTTTAGAGGTGATGCTAGGCCTACCATTTTAAACAAGCTTCCGGCGGGAGCCAAGCTCACTGAATATACATTGCAGATGTAGCTAAATCACTCAAGAAATGATTCCCATCTGAACATCTGAGCTGGACACTGCTCAGCGCAGCTCGCTGTCAAGCGTGTACTACATAAGGTCCACAGCGAGCTGAAGATGTGGAGAGGGGCTTGGAGCACATCGCAGAACCAGAGCGCATGCAGGAAGATTCCTCCGACTGAAGCGAGACTTGTCACTTAGAAAATGTTCCCTGATTATGAAACTTTGGCTGAATAGCGCTTGTTCCTGTCTCCAATGTGGCGACACATCCATAAGCCTCTCTGAGGAGAATCCCAGAATCTCACATCCTCTTCAGCTTAGAAAGCGTCTATGATTACACACAAGCGTGACCCGTCAACCCGGTCTCACAGTCAGACCGGGTTGGGCCTGTTCAGGTTTACGCAGACAATCTTTACATTTAGAATAGGCATACAGATGTACAATTAATGCAGTAAAATATAAAGCATTTTATTAAAATATCCATTCATTATTTTACAAGCACAGAGAGCCGCATCAGATGGATGGAAGAGCCGTGGGTTGCCGACCCCCGACATAGACATAGGGAGAAAATCTCATTATGTCACATTGCTGCATCGATGCAGAATCATGCATGGCTGAACCGCGATGCATTTTAGAATTGATCATTTTCCCACCTCTAGAGTCAAGACATGAGCATGGACAGGATGCCATGTGTCGTCCATACGCTGCAGCTTGTTGTCCACATGATAAACAAGGAGGAAAGCATCAACAGAGTCTTGAACAAAGCCTGATCAATCGTAAAACTTTTTCGCAAGTCATCAGTCACAACACAGAAGATTTTGGACAAATGCTGCCAAACTGTTGTGAATGACTGCCCCACACGCTGGTCAAGTACTTACAAAATGGCTGCACGTCTCCTCAAACTTAAAGAATCTGTTTGTCAAGTAGCAAACGTGATGGGATGGGACTGCTTGCTCTCGAGTGAGTGGCAGAAGCTGAAGTCATTGCATTAACCTTTGCAGCCGTTTGCTGAACACACACAAACTCTTCAGAGTGACACAATGTCTATGTCATTAATACTCCCTGCTCTCTTTGATTTACTCAGCCATCTGGCAGATGTGGAACAAAACACAAGTCGAGATGTGCTCTAGCACGTAAAATGGAAGGGAATGTGAACCAGCGTTTTGTCTGGGTACTTGATCCCTCAGATGACAAGTTTCCCCACTTGTAGCAGCTGCTTGCTTTCTCAATCCTACTGTGTGTCAGACCCTCCTCAATGTGGCTGATGACAACATTCAGGAGCTGCTCAAGCAGGCAGAAGGGTATGTTGTTCGGTGCTCTCAGACACAGGAGAACCACTCTGATCTGGAGGAACTGAATGGACCTGAACCGGCACCACCCGCCGCCGCCTCCTCTTCATCATCTGCCTTCTCCTCCTCCTCCTCCAGACAACCAGTGTTTAGGCTTCTTTCCAAATTTGGAACAAAACCTAAACCAAAGTCTTCCAAGTGTAGTGTTGGACAGCAGATAAGCCAGTACAAGGAAGAGCTCTCACAGTCCATCACTTGTGAAACGGGAATGGAGTTTTGGCTTGGAAAATGTGACACTTTTTATCACAGCCTGAAACCATTAGCATTAGATATATTGGCAATGCCAGCTTCTCAATCTTTTGCAGAAAGAGTGTTCAGTATCACAGGTGACCTCACTAGAGGGAAACGCAACCAAGCAAAGGTCACACTAGCACGAAGTGCTTTTCTCAAAATGAATCGCAGCAAATAAATATTCACACTGTTTGGTTGAGCCAGTGTTGTAACAAGTGAATATATACAGACTCGGGTTTAACATGTTTAAATTTGCTGTTCAGGTTGAAGCTTACAGGTCCTGTACTGTACTTATTTTGAGGTGTTAACCATTTTATTGTGAAAAGTTTCTGAAAAAATGCATGTCCTCAAAGGAGGAATTTTTATTTTTGAGTATTTCTGCATGCTAGTTTGAAAAATGCTTGTTGTGCAATTGCTAAAAAGAGCACCTTTGTAATTTCCAGTGTGTTTTTTATTTTTTATTCAAATATTCTATGTTCTTAGATGTGTGTGCTATATCTGATCAGTGGTGGTTAAGAGTTTGGACCCTGTGTATTAAATTACACTACTAGTTTTTCCGTGCTCTATACAAAAGTAGGAAATTACTTCATTAGAAAAAATATATGTACTTTGTTGACTAAAATTGCTTATTTTTATCGACTACAATTACTTGTTATTGTCATCGACTAAAATAGGACTAAAACTAAAATAAATCTAATGACTAAAATTGGACTAAGTCTTTTGGCTAAAAATTTATTTTAGTCTAAGACTAAAATAAAACTTAAATTTCCTGTCAAAATTAACACTGTTTCTGAGCCCAGACGATGTCGTTATCCTTCTCAGAAGAGGAGCAACCAAAATATCTAAAACTAGAGTGGGTTTAGGTGAAGCCTGCAACAGATGGACCCAAATAAAACATTTCCCGTATCGACAACGAACCTGGTATCCTGACGGCTGGAAACCTTGTTCTGTTGTTGCAACTACAACCTCCACACACTAGATGTCGCTATGATGTTCGTGTTCCACGTTTAACCCTTAACCCCAACGAGTTGTTACCAATTTCTTAAACGAATGTGGGAGAAGATGCATCTCATGATTGTGGAAAAGATGCCGAGAAGGATCAGATCATTAGCATGCAGAAAAAACTAATAATGCTTTGGATAATTCTTAACCCAATTATAAGCACTGGTCTGATGAGTCCAGATGGACCCTGTTCCAGAGTGATGGTGCATCTGGGTAAGCGGAGAGGCAAATGAAGTGATGCACCCATCATGCTCATTGCCTACTGGGCAAGCCTGTGGGGGCAGTGCTACAATCTGGGGTTGCTTCAGGTGGTCAGGTCTACGTTCAGCAACAGGATGTACTCCAACGATGATGTCACCTGACTACCTGAATTTATTGAATGACCTGGTTATTCCATCTTCCCCGATGGCACAAGTATATTCCAAGACGACAATGCTAGGAATCATTGAGCTCAAATAGTGAAAGAGTGGTTCAGGGAGCATGAGACATCATTTCCACACATGGATTAGCCGACAGAGTCCAGACCTTAACCCCACTGAGAAGCTTTGGGATGTGCAGAAGGCTGTGTGCAGCGGTCAGACTCTACCATCATCAGTGCAAGATCTTAGTGACACATTAATGCAACACTGGATGAAAATTAATCTGGTGACACTGCAGATGCTTATTGAAACGCTACAGCGAATGTGTGCTGTAATCAAAGCTAAAAGCAGACCAGTGAAATATTAGTGACATTTTTCTTTGATGACGACTTTATTTTTGGCCAGGCAGTGTTTGTTCCTACAAAAATAGTCAATCATTAAAGAAATAAGTCATCAGAAAATTACTTTTTGACAAACCCTAAAAGTAAAAACTCCAGCAGTCTAAAACCTCATCTTACATTTTGATATATTAAAGCAGATCATCTTCAAACTCAGCCTGCTTTCATATCAGTGTGGGCTACATGCTTGACTTGCATGAGGACAACTAAGCAATGCCTAAAGTGTCAGACATAGCGTTACACTCTTATGGAAAAACTTACGTTTATTAATTCTTGATCATGGACTCAATCAACTGAATGTAAATGTATTGCTCTATGCCTCTCTGCATGCTCACTCATTCAGACACACACACACACACACACACACACAATCTCTCCCTCTATTAATAAACTGTGACCAGATGTTCGGTGCATTTTGCCTCGTGCATCTGCCACAGTTATAACCGTTTGACTTGTTCATTGTCTCCTTCCCTCTTCACTACAGGAAATGGGTTATTGATAAGATATTGATAAAATCCATAACACACTTGGAGCAGCTAGGTTCATCAGTCACATCAGCCCATCACTTACAAAGAAATAAGACATTCTAGAAAAAGTTTTATTGATTTATTAACAAATGTACATTAGTTTTCAGTGCCGACAGCATTTGCTACATACTTTGGTGTGATTCAGAGATGCATTTTGCACCATTCATGTTCCTGTAGTAAAAGCCAACAGAATCAGGAACACAGTGTACAAACCAGAATTCATCTTAAGTTACTAACTGGAGTATTTCTAAGTGTTTCCCTCTGTTGTCACAAGCATTTACAGGCACTGAACATTTCTGTAGACGGATATGTGTTTTCTACTTGCCTCCTAGTCACAGCCAAACCAATTCCAGGAAAACGGCCCCGATACAAAGAGCAGCGAGACTCCAACAGGACTGTTCGATTTGCAGTTGAAAGGGAAATGTTGGAGTAACTCGTAGCAACGTTGGTATTACATCAAATTAGCAAAAGCACACCGTCATTCTGTTTGTCTGTTGCAATGTTTCTGTTGCCAACTGAGGTCCAAAGGTTAGGCTAAGCTTTACCACCCTCCATCTCACACTAAAACAGGAAAGCACACAGACCAGGACACCTGCACATTTTATACATATATGAAGTAAATTTACATCCATCCCAGTTTCTGAATCAAAGTCCCTCCTGAGTCAGAGAACTGACCCAGATTTTATTGTACACTAACAGCACTGTGACAAAAGGCCATTTTAAGATCTCCATCACATGTCCAACCGTGCAGGAGTCATGCTCTTCAGTTAGATTTCTGCAAAGATCAGTCCGCAAAATGTGCTTTAAGAAAATCAGAGTAGAATAGTTGCGAAGTTCTGGTCTCTCGCTCCAACGCAACAGCAAGTGAGCCAAAACAATAGTCACAAGTACACCCAGGACAAGAAAATATATATTTTTAGAATATATAAAATGTTTTTATTTAATCCATTATGTACACTTTGAACAAAAAGTTTGAGGAATGAAGCTCCGCTTCACTGGGTTTCATCCAAAGGTTATCAGAAAAGTCTAGGGAAAAAAGACGGACCGCAAAATGTGCATCCCTAAAAGAACGGGACAGAAAAAGGGGACCTTCCTTGTAGTTCAAGCATCTTCAGGCCAGCAGCGCTCCTGATGTCCAAAAAAGTTAACTTTCAGAAATATGTAAGTTGCTCAAATCTGTTGTGGTCCACATTTGGTCAGCAAGAAAAATACAAAATAATCTCAGTAGAAGTGCTGAAGCGGGGAGCTTCCTCTGTTCAGTAGATGACCTCATAGACGGTGGCCTTCTTATCACCAGACCCTGTGACGATGTACTTGTCATCTGCTGAGATGTCACAGCTCAGGACAGAAGACGACTCCTTCGACTGTGGAAGAAAACAAATTAGAAAAGATCCTTATATTTTACTGATGTTACTTTACAAACGTTTCTTTAGTAAGCAAAAGTGTTTTTATGAGTAAGACGTCAACAGTTGCTTTCTTCTCAAAAACATGCTGGTATAAGTGAGACTTGCTCATAAATGGTATTAAAATTGCATTTCTGACCAGTTGGGTGACCTTAAGAAGATTCAAGTATGCTAGGTTTGGCTTTGAAAGCTCAAAAAGATCTCCAGGATTCAACAACTGATGAAGCTGATTCCACCTGAGATGTTTCTGTAACTTCCCCCGATGTTTATCATGGTTCCTTCACATTTCAGCTTACTTGGAATATGCTGGCACCATAAGGAGTCCTCCATGCGTTCAGCAGGTTGTCCTTCCCTGTGCTCACAAACCATTTACCTGCAGATAAAGATCACACGAGCGTCCCAAAGTTAACCAAACCGTTACAGATCACCTTCAATAACTACAAACATGTCACAGCAATAACCTCATCAACAATCTGAAAATACACCTAATGAAGGAGATTCAACACCTCCCCAGTTAATTATTCAAATGACCCTCTGATTAATTACCCAGCTGACTAGCTGATGATTTAATTAGTAGCAGCAAGAGCTCTGAGGCATTAAGAGACATTTAAATGAACCATTTCTGTGCTTCAGAGGCAGAATTAATACGTGAAGTATTTCTGTTAATGTGGCAAAACAGTAAAACCATCTGGTCTGTAGAACAGGCAGAAGGATCTAAACTAATGACTTCAGCGTTATGTGAAGCCGCTACCGTAGGAGCAGTAAAAACATCATCTGTGTTTGTTCCAGGTAATTTCTTACAAATAAGCTGCACACATCAGCGATCAGTGCAGAAATGTTTCTTTAAAGATTAAAGAGCATTTCAGCACAATAACAGGAGCTCTAATGGACTTCTACAAACCAACTTTGAGCTACACCAATGAGTGGATAATGTAACAGTTGGGTTGTTTCTCTGTAAAATGCAAGTACTTAGTTTCATCTGTTCTGCCTTATTGAACAGATATTTGAGTTGCCATGACCCGTGCAATAACAGTTCCTGTTGCACGCTCCGCTGTTGCACTTCCTGTTTTTGGGGTAAAAACTTATACCAAACACACTATATGTCAATTCTGTTAAAAGCATAGAGTTCGCACAAAGGCTAAAGTTTCAAAAGCAAAGTTCTGAGAATTGAAAGTGTTTTGTTTCCTGTAAAACACATTAAGGAGTGTTACTCACCGCAGTAGGCAAATTTAAGTGAGAGGACGCAGCTTTCGTGGAGATGCAGCTGGTATTTATCCGGCTTGGTGTGGTGAAGCACCTCCACATTGCTGCTCTCCATCCCAACAGCCAGCCACTCTCCAGTGGGACAGTAGCCCAATGAGAAGATCTGCAACAAGCAAACAACTGTTTTACAGCCAGTCATCAGCGTCACTCTGTGCTTGACCTTAACAGCTTTACAAGCCCATTTGTTTACCTGTGAGGTAAAGTCGTGTTGCTGGAGCTGTCGACCCTCCCTCAAATCCCAGGAGCGGACTGTGTTGTCTAGGCCACCGGTCCACAGTTTGGTCCCGTCGTGGGAGATATCGATACAGCTGGCTCCATCTGTGTGGCCCTGGAACTGCCTGGAAAACAGTCATGCAAGTATTTAAGCAACAAGGTAAAAGCATTGTAAAGTGTTCTCAGTTAGCTTGCAGTGAAATTACTCTGATTACAGTAAACAGCAATAGCTGCTGTCCATTACGTCCAATCCTATTTGGTGTCCCCCATAAGTTTACACGGCACAACTTCCTTTAGGCAGTCATGTCGTGTGTGTGTTATTAGGAATCTATTTTTTTTTTTTTTTACAGTTAAACATAACTTTGGTACGTTTGTATCTAGTTATCAATGAAAGCCTTTTCCTAATACAGCAGAAACTGTTGAGGGTTAGGGACTGTTTTAAGACCGAAGAGCTGCCAGGGTCCAACGTGAATTTCAAATCCTTGTTTAAATGTTGTGATAGGACCAGATTGTTTACAACAAATAACACACTTAACTTCTGATGCTATACAAGTTCCTCAGAATTACTTATGTCACTAGTTTGGACAAACATTTTCAGTACTCTCTTTTGTATTGCTTTTATTTTAATTGTGACTAAAGTCATTTAATACTGCATGGGCTGCATGGTGGCGCAGTGGTTAGCACTGTTGCCTCGCAGCACGAAGGTTGCAGGTTCGAAACTCAGCTGTGGCCTTTCTGCGTGGAGTTGCGTGTTCTCCCCATGCATGCGTGGGTTTCCTCCGGGTACTCCGGTCTCCCGCACAGATCACAACATGCCCTATAGGTTATAAATTGCAAGTCGCTTTGGATAAAAGTGTCTGCCACATAAATAAACATAAACATAATACGCTGAAACACAATAAAACAAATGAGCCAACATTGTCCCGATCATAATTAGTGCTTTTCTATGTGTAACAAGTTTAGCCAATCAGAGTAGGCATGGGGAACGACTGCCAGAACAGAGAAGATAATCAGCAGATTATGAATTGGTGGCATCTTGGCTTTCCGAACCAAAAGGCCAATATTTTACTCACTACCCACCATTATTCATAAATCAGATGCAAGGGGACATGTGGAAGTCAACAATGTACTCACCTAACAAGGGTCTGGTTGTGGAGGTCCCACACAGCGATGTTTCCGTCAGAGCAGCAGGAGAAACAGACCTTGGCATCGGGGCTGATGGCCAGTGCGTAGCAGGCTGGAGCAGAGGAAGTGAGCTCGGCCTTGATACGGGGCGTCTGCGAGGCCAGGTCCCAGATGGTCAGTGTGCTGGCCTCACCTCCCACTATTAGGGTGCGACCATCAGGCAACAGCTTGCAGGAGCGGATGTAATTGTCTCTGTTCTGGAGCACAAACAAAGGGCAGAAAGTTCTCAAACTGCACAACATTTTTTTTCATGATAAAATGACTTTAGGTAACAAAACGGTCTTTATAAATTCTGTGGAACATATTGAGTGAATTTATTTTAGGAAGTAGCCATCTCTTTTAGTTAGTGAGGCTAAGAAAAGCTACAAACGTAGAGTGGAGCAGCAGACAGGATCCCTACGAGCAGGGAGACAAATCAACAACACTGTAGACGCTAGAGGTGAAATTAAAACGGCACCCTGAAAGCTTTATAAAACCAAACTGCACCCTGGACACACCTACAGGGTGTGGGGGGCCAAATGAGCTGAACGGCATGGAGCCACAATATCAAAATGAGAAACGGGAGGCAGTTCGGAGGAAATAATGAGCTGGGTAATGGCAGGTAGGCTTGGCCAATCAGAACATCATTACTCAGCAGGCTTTTTTCTCCACCAAGGATAATTTCAGCACAGCGTTGAGACATTTTACTGAATAACTCACATTTTTTATCTGTTGAGATCGGTGAACATCTGCACTGGGATGTGGAGTCAGGCTACATTTGATGTTCAAGAAAATGTGTAATAAAGAAGACTACTGAGTGATCTTATGAAACATTAGCTCATTTTGTCTCTGCCATGGTTGAAAGCATTAAAACATTTACTGTAATAACAATTTTAAAGTCACTCTAAGCAAACACATTTCCTTTTCTCTTCCTGTGGATTCAAAACTACAATAGCTGCTCACCAGGCAGTCAAGTTGGGAGACGGGGCTCTTGCTGCCTGGCTGACTAATGTCCCAGATCTTGACACAACCCTTGCCACCAGTGTAGACGTGTCGTGTGGGGTTGCTGATGGTGACAGCACACACCACTTCCCCGTGGCTCAGCGTGTTGATCTGGCGAGCGTGACGCGGGATGCCCGGGCCGATCAGTGCATCTGGAGGGAAGGGCACGGGCTGCATCTGACCATCTGCACTCACATGAAAAGAATAGGCTCTGCAGGAAAAAACAGGAAGGAAGACATTGCAATTAATGTCTGATGAAAGCATTAAAAGACTAAATAAAGAGTAAATACTGACGGTTTTCCTCCTGAAATGGAAGTGAGACTAGCTGGGAGGCCAGGAGCTCTCATGTGAGGATGAGGGTCAAAACCCGCCTGAACAAGAAAGAGTAGACACAGTTTAACAACCATCACACTCATAAAATACAGAGTGAAACTTTACAGCCTATAGCCTAACCCTAAATACAAGCAGTGGTAGTTACAATTGGTGAGCGTCCGTAGGCGGCAGCAGCTGCGGCGCTCATCTGGGGTGAGATGAGTCCAGGATACACGCCGGGGCTGGTCAGGGATCCGTTCATGTCATGATGACCCATCATGGCGAACGGGGTCGCATAAGAACCAGCAATAGACAGAGGAGTTCGTAGGGCTGGGGCAGCTGTAGACACAGGAAATCATTTACATACATACATCTAGGTAAGTAAACACTTAACCCTCCCACTGTCTTCATGGGTGACCCCACCAGGAAAGTTGACCATTGAGCAGGGTTGATGGTTTATCCCTTGAGGTCCACGTGGCAGGGGTGAGGAGTGAGCACCACCTCACCCCAGGGTTAAAGGAATCTAACAGAATAAAACTCAAGCAATCACTAAATAATACCTAATGCCTCCATTCCAGGTGGTTTGCCCATGGTTAAGGGGCGGAGTCCTGGCGTAGTGCTGGTTCCTGGTGTTGGCGCCTCATTCCTTGGAGTAGGCGTATTGGACTTAAGGCTCGGCGTTGACGACTTGTCATTCTGTAACAGAAATACTCTTTGGTTCAGGACATTCAGTCTCATTTTACTAAATCTGTTACCTTAGCCTCTCTCAAATCAAACTACATTCATGCCAAAGTTAGGAATCCTCTCGTGAGTCAAAAACACTCCCCTACCATCAGAGAACTTCAGAGTGACAGGCTGAATGGACAGCTCACGTAAATCCAAGCTAACACAGACACTGTATAATGCATGTGTGTTGGTGCAGGGAGGGGGAAGGGGCACAAACCTTTCAAGAAGACTAGTTCAACGTACTGTATGCAAGTTGGTGTCTCAAACAATAATTTATTTATCTTTCCCTTCCTTTGCTAACTGAATGAGAGAAGCGGGGCTTAAGCTAACCCGACACACCGTTAAGACTTAGCTTCTGTTCCTTCCTTGTCATAAGTGGAGGTACGTAACATGGATCAGATATGTAGCCCAACCTTTGGAAGACTCTGGATAAAGGGTGGCTTAGTTTTACAGAAAATTTAGCAAAGAGGGGCGTACAGGAGGAAAAGCAACAGAAAAAAGAGACGGCAGTTTATCCAGTGGGTTATTTGCAGCCGCAGGGTGATGGAAAAATGACCATTTACTGGGTTAAGCCATAAAGGAGATGGATTGGACTCAGCCATAGGGTTTGATTTCCTGAGAATACATCCACCCTCTGCCTCTTCAAATCCCTCATAGCAGCCAACTCCTAAGCCTCTGCATTAGTCTTTCATGCACCCACCCACTTCACTTGACAAATGCCCTTTAGTCTCAGTTCAGACGTCACCCCTCCACTCGCTACACTCACATGGGCATGGTCCTTGGCCTTAGAGGATGGTGTACTACCCGACGAGGCCACTGAGGCGGGGCTGTTGGGGGCAGCATCCTTCTTCAGCACTCGTGACTTATCCAGGCCGTTTTCAGGAGGAGAGTGAGCGGGGCTGACTCGAGGGGTGGCCGGATCCTGCAGAGTTAAACGAGACAGACAGAGAGCAAGACTGAGCAAACAGACTGGAGGAAAGCCACTGGCATGTACATGTAGGTCAAACAAGCTGGGGCCTCATGTGCAAACACAGATAAATGTACTATGTATGCTCATACTCTCCCCCACACACATGCACGCGTTCTCGTTCACCTGTCACACCCTTTCTTTTTGTGTCTCGTCTTACATTCTGCATGAATGACAAAAGGAAATCCAGCAAGTAAACACACTCAGAGCACACAATCAATATTATGACAGACTTTTGGCTGCAGAGTGAAAGGTGCTCTAAGGACAGGGAGGGTTGTGTTTGGTCTCTGTGAGGCCGTCATGCTGAAGAATGTGGCCGGGTGGGTTAGAACATCTTACCTCATTGGACACATCCACGACCAGATCGTCACTCTTTTCTCCGTCACTGTCCTGCAATCAAGTATCAGCAGGATTGCAGTAAATGAGGCGAGTATTTAATAGTACTGCTCACTTTAATAAGCGTGAAACCACACTAAACAGATCACCAGAACCTCAGAAACTACAGCTAGCTAAGGACTTGAGAATTTTTTATTTTATTTATTATCTAATAAAGGAAAATCTCTAAGTTATTTCTCCTTTGAAGCGGTAAAAGTGTTATTTAACACATTAAATCAGCTGCATCGTTTCTAAACTTTAGAAGCCAGACTAACACCTAAATTATTTTAATTTAGACTTCATTTTAAGTGTCCATGGTGACACCCTTTCATCTGAAATGTAGATGCATGTTTCCAGGAAGTGAAAGGGATTTTATGGCCTTACAACATATCACTCTGGGAGGTTCCACACGGTAAATGTCCCTTCCTGCTCGTTATGACTTTGCTTATGTACCACCGCTGTCCTGATTTTTTGGCTAACAAAATCAAAGCTGGAGTCGGTTCCAAATAACATTAAAACCTCTTGGGAGGATAAATTCCTTCCAAACTTAAGATCTAGAAAACTAAAACAAAAATCACTCACGTATCCTCGGTTGCTGTCTTTGTCATCCACTTTACGTTTCTTGGAGTCGAGGCTATAATCCGAAGAATTGCGGTGCTTCTCGCTCGCTACCCGCAGGCTGTCTGATGGTGATACAGAGTTATTCTGTCAAAAACAAACACATTCCTCATCAGACAGTCAGACAAAGACGACTCAGCACTCTCGGAGTTTAATATAGCTAATAATACACTGGAGCATGCAGGTGCGTGGATCCCGTGACCCTTTCTGATAAATACCAGTATGTTCATGACGGAGAGTCAAATGTGATGAGCTGGATCATATAATAACCATTAGCTAGACGCTTTGACATTTAAGTGCAACATGAGAAGACCCTTTGAGAGAATAGAGAAGACGCCGACATGACATCGAGACATGAGTGTTTATCTCGGTCAGATTAGAGATAATATTGACAGAAAAGCAAAACACACAATACTTCTGGACTGATTTGGGAAGAGGGGGAAGCAGAGAATTATTGGAAAGCTTAGCACTGTTGCTGCTGCCAAAGCAGCAGAGCAAACAGGAAACAGACAAGGCAAGAGAGCAAAACCACAGACCCGCAAAAATACTGCAAGGCAAAAACTCTAACTGGCAAGGTGATCTGCAGACCGAGTGGAGCTGGACAGCAAATGTGAACACATGCAAACTGACATGAAATATTTTTACTTCTTCCTACATCCTGGATATTTAAATTTAACATGCTGCATTCTTAAACGCAACGATAAAAACCGAACCACCAGAAGAAACACTAAACACGTTCACTCTGTCTAATCCCTATACTGCTCGTATGTCTCGGTTGTGACAGGTACAAAAATGTGAAAAAGAACCGATGACAACATTCATGAAATCCCCAGAATTAAATAAATTAAATAAAATGAGGAGAGAAAGAGGCTATTGAGAACTCCAGGACAAGAGAGCAATGTGGCGAGACAAAGAGGGTGTTGCCTGCAGAGAAGAGTCATGAAAGGGGCAGAGTGAGAAAATTAGGAGGGGAAAAAGACAAGAGACTATAACAGGAAAGGAACTTGGCAGGCAATGAGAACACAGCAGCTTGCCAGTGAGTTTTCCCCACTAGTGAGAATGCCTGGACAGGCTGGAGCTTTCTCTGAAGCAGTAAATGGTGGGGGTTGTAGTCTGGGGGATGGAGTGGTAGGGTGGCACTGCCAATCAAACCCAAAGGCAAAGAGTGCGTGGGTGGGGGTGAAGACAAAAAAAAACCTGGAGGTCAGCTCATTATGAGACAGCTATCCCTCCTCATCAGAAACAGGCAGACACAGAGAAGGGAAGGTGTGTGACTCATGAGACCTCCCGAGCCAAAGACAGTAGAAACTAACCGTTTAGCTGTAGCTAATGGCCACTCTCAAGAGCAGACCTTCACAAAGAGCCCATTTCTCAGGGAAAAATAGGGAATTTGTTCAGCTAGTGCAGCCTAGCAGAAAGCCACCAAGAGTTTGAGCCTGGCTTAGTGCGATGCTGTCTGACAAACAAAAATCTCCTACAGCCTGTCTGTCTGTGTATCTGAGGCTGAAACCCTTCAAGGATTGCTTAGTCTCAGTAACCCTGCACTTTCATTCAACTGTGGAATCAGATGACCTGAGACAAAGGAACAGGAAGACAGTGTGTGTGTGTTTGTGTGCTAAACAAGAGAGGGAGAGGAGGGTGGCTGGGAGATCAGGTACAGTGGTATTGGCAGCTGCTTCTTACCAAATGAGAATAGGGAAGAGTTTAGGTTCCCTCCTGACATGAGTGGGCCCATTCAGGATGGCCAGTCAATGGGAATTTAATCTGTTTGAGCGGATCCAACAGAGCGTTACACTCCAGCTAACTGAGAGCTTTAAGCCAGTCCAATAAACAAGGACTTTAACATGAGAAGGAGCAGAGAGATAGGGACAGCACAGGACAGAGAACAGTGATGGGACCCGCTAACTCACTGAGAAAACAACGCAGAGCTGTAAACATAGGAGCACACTAAAATAAGTGTGATAACAAAACAGAAAAGAGTTGTGTATTGACGACATGGAATTTTAAATCCTCCAGAAAGTGGGGAGAGACAAAGAGAAGGAGAGCAAAAGTAATTTTTTATTACGATGAAATCCAAGAAAGTAGCAGATTAATAATCCTCGTTCAGAGATTGTAGTAATTCCCCCCCTGAATTAGATGGCATATGGCCATAGGTCATTTAAATTCAGTCAGCATATAATCCAAGCACATAAATGTGTGTTCTGACAGAGGAAGCATGACGTTCTACTCAACGGTGGGTCTAAGTACACCTAATCACCAAACACAGTGATCCAGGAACACAGTCAAGAACTGTACAGGGGATTCAACGTACCGTGCTGGACTCGCGCTCTTTCAGAGGGATGGTCAGAGGCAAGTGAAAGGATGAGGGGCCAGCAGGGAAAAAGCAAACAAAAATTAGTATGTGGATAAGAAAAACTCAAACCAACAAACAGATTTGGAATTAACAACCTAACAACACTCACATCAAACTAAACAGTCACTGGTTGATAAATATGCAAACGTTTATATAAATTAGCAATAAAAATCACAGCACTTGGAAATGTTATCTGGATGTCTAAATCTTCACAGGGCAGACTTTACAACCTGCATGTCTCAGTTTAAACTACTTCTATAAATAAGTTTAGCCGGTGTTTTCTCTACAGGAACATGTTTGTGTGGCAGGTATGCTCCTCACCTCGGTGCTCCAGGTCATGGTGATTCTTCTCATCCTTTACAGGCAGGTGGGCCTGGCTCCCAAGAGCCCCCAAAGCCAGCAAACCGGAGCCAGCACCCGTCACAGGAGGGATGCCGGGCGGCTGCAGACCTGAGGGATGAGGGGGCAGCTGGACTGGCGGGCCGTGGGCAGCGTGAGAGAGGTGCTGAGCCTGAAGCTGCTGCTGCTGCAAACAAACGCACAGAGACAGGAGACAAAACCGAGGACAAGTGGGTCAGGTGGGAAATTACTCCATGAATGACCACACTCTGCCCGTGCTTTGATGCTGGATTTAACAACGATTCACTCAATGCTAAACACTTTATGGCAACACGCTCTACTTGCTCGCTGGCTGGTTTATTAAAAATAAGGGATGAGTTGCTCAGAATGGTGAAAACAGTGTTAAATGGTAGACAACAATAGAAAATGTCTGTATTGTTTGTTTTCTTCCTCTCAAGTGGATAGCTTTTAGCTTTGGCAACAAGTAGCAGCAAGGATCAGAAAGGCATAACAATGATCCCAAACTTTTAGCTTCTGAGCCATGAAAGTGTAATGAATGCTCAAAGCTAAATTAGTAAAGATAAATCAGGCCGCCTCAACTTGTATGTACTACTTATATTCATTTATGACTATCCTGTTAGCGTTTATGTCCATAACTGTAAAAAGGGTTTCATTACAAATTTTCTAAAGCTTTTATAATATCTGGAAATTAACTAAAGACCCCAAACTTTGTTTATCGTCACCAGCAAAAGGGTACGGACCCCCATTTGGACAACACTGGTGTATAACACTTTCACAAAATAAAAGACCAATTTATCACTTTTCTCACAGAATAAGTAAAAATGGTCCCAACACTAGTGTGTGAGAACAGCAACACTAAGTAGGCTGCAAGTTACTAGGCAACTCATGAAATGTGTTCTTTATTAAATACTAACTTATGATACGTAAATGCACAAAATAATGAAAACCAGTGTCTGAAGCCAAAACCGATCACTTTGAAACAAGAAAAATGAAACAATATTTCTCTGAACAGTTCTGTAAACTAACAGCAAATGATCACATTTTAAAGACTGAAGCAACCACACTCAAATAATTATCCAATATCTAATGACATCAATGCCAGAGACACGTGTAAAAGTGTTCATGAATAAGCAACAGTGACTTCACTTCATGCTCTCACTTATTTACAGAACTCCCACATCCACTGTTCTTTTTCCTCCCGATGAACTTCAGAGAGCTACGGTTCGATCAAACAACACATCACCTCCAGGCCACCAAAATGATATCAAACAGTGTTTGCTTGGTCCCAAACCGCAGAGCTTCAAACACAGCTGAGACAGTTGGAATGAAAGAAAATAATAATAATAAAATCAATAGGTCCACACTTGGAAACCTCTAAATCTTTCAACAGTCTGGAAAGCAAGCAAGCATGGCCTCCGCCAGCAAAAATACAGCTAAGCACAAGACAGTTGGAATACACGCACGCGCGCGCGCACACACACACACACACACACACCTCCCAAGAGGCCATGTGAGAGGCGGCCAGAGCAGAGGGAGTAGATAGACAGGAGTTAAATAGCCACTCAGGCAAGAGGGAAGCAAGTGCTTTAAAACAAGGTTAAATAACACTTAGCACATCCATCAACTGCCTCTCCAAAAAAAAAAAAAAAACATGATTGTTATTCCGCTTGTCAGTCTGAACCTCAATAACCCGATCCATACATTCATTACATTAAAAGGAGAAACGAGTCCACATTTAAAAGTTTATTTAGCAGTTGGCCATTATTCACTCAGCTCATTATGTGGAGTTGAACCTGAAATCTTCTGATGGATGCTAGCAACTAAGGGGCAGCATTGTTAATCGATATTGTACTGGCATGCAGAGCAGCCCATTTGTTGTGAGAAAGAAAAACCAAGCAGAAACTGAGAAATGGAAGGACTAGCCAGAACAAGATGAGGAGGGAGACGCAAATCACAAAAATAACAGGAGAATAAAAGAGTGGGCAATGGATTGAGGCAGGGACGTCCCTATTGAGTGTGCCTAATGAGGAAAAGCGTGCAGGGATCATTATCAAGAAGCCTCATTAGCGTGCTATAGCTGAGGAGAAGAGGGGAGAGGGAGGGAAGTTGTGAGCGGTGGATGGAGAAAAGCAAGAAGAAGAAAAAGGAAAATCAGAAAATAAATTGCTTCCAATTCAATATTCATGAATAAAGAGCTAGCTTTTTTCACACGTATCTTTTCTCATTATGTGTAAATGCTGCAGCAGTTCCAGCAACTTCCACAGGAAACAGGCAATTAAAGTTAACTAGGCGAAGCTGGCTCCCTGCAGAACAGTACTGTCAGGTGGAACAAGCATCAACAGCACCAGCAAAAACCATCTGGCAGACGGGCTTAATAAGTCTGGCAATGATCGCCACATTACCCGCTCTGCCTTACAACGGTTTTGTAGCTCATCATTTTCTTCAGTCAGCCTGACCAAAATTAGACTGCATCCTGCATTACAACTGGGGAAAGCAACAGCAACACCAACATCAGTCCATGGATGATGGCTAAATGTTCCATCTCATCTGTGACACCAGAGTCCGAGAAGACAGAGGACACAAATTCTAAAGCTCATCTTCTAAAGGCATCATCTACCCTCAAAGAGCATAACATCAAGCACAGAGAATGAAGACTAGATAGTCACTATGAAGCTTCTGGTCCTGCTGAGTCAGGAGGGGACAAAGGGCAGGAGGAGATCCCGTAAGAATAAACAATATACACAATAGCACCTTTGGTATAGTGAAGTTAGTTGTTTAACTTCTCTCCGGGTTCATGTTTTTAATGTTAGAATGATAATTGTTAGGCAAATACAAACAGGAATGGGTCTCACAGTAGGAAAACACAGTAGGAAAACACAGAAGGGCATTAAAAGTGAGAGATTTGGGATGTTTAAGAGTAGAAAAGCTGCAGGTCCTGACAGTCCCAGAATGCTCAAAGACTGTGCTGACCAGCTTTGTGAAGTGGTCACACACATGTTCAACCTGAGCCTCCATCTGGAGCAGGTCCCCATCCTGTGGAAGACCTCTTGTGTGGTTCCAGTTACCAAAACCTCACATCCTTGAGAACCAGACAACTAAAAGTCATCATGACCTCCCATCTGATGAAGACTATGACGAGACTCATCCTCACCCATCTATGCTCCATGGTGAGCCCAGAGATAGACCCACTGCAGTTTGCATATAAACATGGGAGTGGAGGACACCCTCATCTACCTGCAGCACCAGGCGCCTCGAGACACAAAAAAGCACTGTAAGAATCATGTTCTTTGACTTCTCAAGTGCCTTCAACACCATCCAACCGTGTCTACTGCAGCAGAAGATGAGCGGGGCAGAAGTGGATGCACATCTGACTGCATGGACCATCAACTACCTCACCAACAGGCCACAGTACGTCTGAGGTGGCTGTGTGCAGATCTGACACCTGTAGCCAACACTTTAACCACTATCCAACAACAATCTAGTTTAAAACACACACGCATGCTTTTCTTGTCACAAATGTTCAAACCACAGCCAAGAGCTTTGTCTCCTTTTTGTGTAAACTTTACAAAAGAGTATCGATAACAGAGTAAACAGTTTATGAACATTCACTCACCATTAAAAAGCTATTGAGACGAATAATGATGCCAACAGTTAACTGTCATTGTGTCATGTGGACCAAAAGGTATCCATTTATGTTTTATTCTAATAAAGAGTGGGTTCGTATTTCCCAAAGCAAACATCCATATGTAATAAACTGCATGTGTGAGTCTAAACACAAATCTTGTTCCTGATCTATGCTAGAGGCTTTAATAAGGACAGAGACACTTCTACTTACTGGCACTGTGCTGATGAAGTACTGATGACCTAACAGAAAATGTGTGTATCTTTATGATTTTAGCCCTTTCCTCTGTGCACCTCCTCAGTGTGACCACTGACCGGGTCGGTCAGGACCTTTGTTAACAGCCTGTTGGCTGACAGGAAAGTCATTATCATAAGAATGGAGGGTTGCACCCCTGCCTCCTTTCCCTTGATTAAATGTTGACATGTGCCTCTTCATTAGATTTGATCTCTACCCCTGGGACACGACAGTCCCACACTAACTCTGCTTAAGAAGCCAATCAGAAGAGTGGTCTTTTGGGTTTGAAAAGGGTGTGCTTGTTTTGGTTTTGTTTAGAATGGTAGAACAGACGTGTCAGTAACTGTATTTCGATGTGCTCCCGCTCCACAGAAAGCCTGATTCCTGCAGAATAAAATCTTTCAGTAAGAATAAAAACTAGTTAATTCCAGGATATTTCAAATATGTTTTTAAATAACCGAGTAGAAAATCTCATTTACAACCGGCCCTGACTTGTAAACGGTTAAAGGTTTGAGGGTTTGCAGTAATTACTGGTAGTTCAGTTAAATGCAAACACAGACATTGAGGTGATTATGAAATAATTACCTACATTATTATTTAGGTGTGGTTTACTGATTACGAAAGCACCAACAACTCACCAGAAGAGCGAGTAAATGATGTCACAAGACGCTAGCAGCGGTAGTAAGCATCAATAAATAACGAGTAAACACAAGCTGGAACAAAAGAAGATTTTCCTGTTCTACACACAGACACACTGCCATGCTGGAGCCCAAACTCTAATCACCTATGAAACACACCGGGTTAGTGCTGCTACGTTCCCACTGCAGTTATTGCTGTTGCAATCACAACGCTTGTCCTGACCTGACCACCTCCAGGTTTCCTGCTATTGGGCCGTGTTGGAGCTAAGCCTGATGGCTGGAGCCTTTTATATAATTACACTGCGACACAAGTGAAATCTGAGAAAACAGTTGAGTAAGATGGCGCTCGCACGGGTGCACGCTGCGAGCTGCTCGTCCTCTTTAAGCACTGGTACCTTCCTCTTTACTGGTTTTTATTGGCGTTTTATTGGCTTTTATGCATTTTTGTAGCCTGGCAAGCCAGACTAAATAAATGTATTATTTAGTCTGGCCACGCTCCATTGACGGCTCTCGGTTGTGGGGCGGGTTCTACCGTTGTCTTTCAAATGATCTCCGCATGCTATTGGACAATGAATGTGACATACTCTTGTTTCACTCTGTTGCATCATCCCACCCACCAGGCATATAGAGTGCCCTGATTGGCCCACAAAGCGGATAAAGCTCTGTGATTTGTTCACTAAGCAGATAGAGCACTATGATTGGCCTACCATTATGGACCAATCACAGCTCTTTATGTGTTTGAAACCTCTCTAGAGAGCTGTGATTGGCTAGCCAGAGTCCTGGTAGGAGCTGCTGAGGTTCCAATGGAGCATGCCTAGACCATTCTTTGCAAAGCAAGAATTTGGTCTAGTTCACTAGGCTAGCATTTTTGTTGTCCCTGATGCTTTTTTTTGAATGGTGTGGATCAGCGCCTTGGGCTTCCTGACAGGGTTGCGGAAGGCGCTTTATAAATAAAGCTTTGATTGATTGAAAACACATAATGTGATCTCAGTCTGGATTGTGCTGCTTTATACTAGATATGCTTTGTTGTTGCACAAGACAAATCTGGGCAAAACTACACATAGGAACTGTGCACTGGTGGGTTACATAATTATTCAGAAGCATTACATCAGTAAACATGGTAAACAATTTAAATAACATAAGAAACCCCTGGAGACACGGACAAGTCTGCACAAGTGAGGAGGCCATTGCTGTACTGGTTCATGTTTAACCATATTAATTAACTTTTGGAAAAATAAAGACTGAACACACTAAACTGCTTTTATTTTCTTTAAACACTTTTTCTATAAAAGTCTATTTATTTCCTGTGTTATCCTCAAAATGCTGAAGCATAGCGGTATAATAGAGCCCACTTGGGTAAAGTGCTGGTCCTCCTCTCCTCATGCAGTTTTGCCCTTGCCCTCGGGTTAAATAAAAGAAGAAGAGGGGGGTATACACACAGTCAGAGGCAGATTGGGAAGTCCACGTACCCCGATGATAGCATTCAGCTCAGTCATTGTCACCTGCTTGGCTCTCTCAACAGCCTGAGCCACCTGCTGTTGATGCTGCAGGAGAAACACAAAAGATGAGTTATGACAGAAAAAAGAAACCACATCTTAGCCAGTGCTGCTCACAGGCTGACACATCAGCTGAGATTTAGAAACTAAGTTTTACAAAGCACTAGCAAAAATTTAAAATGCTAAACTTAGTATGTGTAGGGTAGAAGACTACCCCAGTGATCTAGAGAACACATTTTCTACAGGTATTGTCTGCAAACAATCTACCGGACATGTAAGAGTATTTTTGGTGAGATGAAGTAGGAAGTTAGCCGGGGCCAGGCACGCCTTAAACTCTTTAAGTTCAGCTGATTACAGGTGTGGCTGGTTCCTGCTAGATGGCTTCTTCTATAGAACAACTGTTTGTTGTCAATTGACTTAATTATTCACTTAATTTCTATCCCTTTCATCATCATCAAGTAGTGTTTTGTGCATCTATGATCAGTTAACATCTAGATATATTTTAGATCATTCCACTGACGAGGTCTTTGAACAACAGCGACTGTTAATTTTATGTATTATGTTAAAAAAAACTCATAATTTCTTTAGCTGCAGCTAGCAAGGCTGGTGCTTACCTCTTGTGACAAGAATGGCATGATCTGAGCCAGAATTGCATTGAGCCGTTTGGCAATTTCAGTCTGTAGAAAAAAGGAAATAAAACATTAAAACAACAGCGTCTCTGACTACATGCACTTAGCAGAGGGAAAGATGATGAATTACCTATAAAACATGATTGTTTACAGTGCTCATCAGGTTCAACCACGTATAACAAAATTGGGACTGCCCAAGAACTAATTCACCCCCCCCCCCCCCTCCATTAAGCTCAGGCCTTTATTTCATTAGGAGGCTGAAATATGCTAATGCCATCGGGCTGGAGAGAGCCTAATGAGGTCTATACTTCATAATTACAGCCCATAAAGAGGGGGGTAGGGCACGCTACAGCAGACAGGTTAACTCTCTGGGCTTATCTGTCAGAGGCATCTCTGGCATCGACCACATAATATTAGCTGGCAGAGTAAGATGATACTGCAAGGCTCGATGTACATAGAGCACTTTACAGTGCTGCATTTAGACAAATGGATGTGCTGTACCGCCCGTCTGCTGCACTTGAAGGTCCCAAGGCATTTTGCCCAAACCAATTTCCTTTTTTTAAATTCTGCACTTTCCACAGAGTCTAGGAAGAGGAGGAACAGAAAAGTGGGAAGCAGAATAAAAGAGCAGGGGCAGGGTCTAAAAGAGGTGATGAACGGTGACGTGAAACCCTCTCATTTGACATTAAGGTAATGTGGTTTGACTTAACCAGAGGTGGTGAACTAATTGATTCCAGGAGATTAAGGGTGGAGGCCCAGCAGGTGTGTGGGGGTTGAAGAGGTCCTTCCTGCCATTTTATACGCTGCTGAATTCCACTCATTTACTCCCTTAACCTTGTTTGAGTGTGAACAGAGGAGGGAGGAGAAACAGGAGTTACCAGCAGCCTTCTGCAAAACCTCTGTGTCCCTTTCAGTTTAGATGGGGGGAGGCAGAAAACGAAGGGAGGAAGAGGAGGGGGCATACCCTTGCTGTACAGTCAGGAATTATCTCACAACCCCCATCTGACCTCAGCCTCACCATGCTTTCTCTTCTCTCTTGTCCTCCAAAAGCTTCTTCACACCCCCTCATACTAATATCTCCACCATTCTCTTCTGTGCTACCTCTCCTCTCATCTTCCTCTCTTCTGTTGCTGGGGCAACGCTATCTGGCACGGCTTATCGTTATGTAAATTGGGCTGGGGCTCTGACCAGAACAGCCTGTAAAATCATATTAGGCGCAGCGCAGAGGCAGGTCATTAAATTGAATTTTCGGCCTGTCGATCTGATCGGCACGGGAAATTAATGAGGGAGAACTGGGAGGAGGAGGTGAACTGGAGGGTGGGGGTGAGCTAAAATAGAGAAGGGGTGGGGTGCACTTTGGGGACTCATAAAGCATCATCATTAGCGGGGGCAGTACACAATGACACTAGTAGGCTAAGAGTGTTTCAGTGTTACACCAATTGCATGGAAATGGCTGCAGGGGGAGCAACGTGGGGCTTGTGGGAACAGCTGTATGCTGATACACTCTGCTATTAGAGCAACTCCACTACAAGCCCTCAGTCACACAGGAAAGCATCCATTTGCACACAGCAAATCACCACCTCAGAGCCACCATTTGAGCCCAGAAACATTCCTGGGATTTGGGTGTACTCTGCGTTTTTAGCTGAACTGTTTAGCGTCATGTGCATCGATAAATGAGGGCTGAACTAACACTGTTCTACAACTGTCGACTTCCTGTAAAGTTTTGCCCCAAGTTAACGATGAGTTAAAACCTGAATAAAAAAGTGATTCTCCTTTCTTTGCACACACACACATTCAATGGAGTGAGGGCAAACAAGATGCAAATAACAACCCGCTCCGCACCTAAACTGCTGCTGTTGGCTCCAACTTATTGTCCGTCCTTTTCCAACTCTTTGACCTAATTCTGTTCCGAGTACGCTCAAGGTAATGAGAGCAAATGGGTGCATTGTCTGTTCAGATAACCTTTTGACAGCTTTTTTAAAAGCAGAGAAATGCAGATAGCATATCCACTGAGTCACGGTGCTCAGGGCGACTCCCATTTCATTTTGGAGGAACTATTTTCTTCTGTGCTTTTAGTAGCCGAGACAGAAAGAGTTTATTATCACCTAAAGCTGCTGACAGAGGCCTTTGAGCCAGCAGAGGCTTTTCGCTGCAACTCCATAATTACAGGTACTTTGTGTAGCCTAGTAGCACCAGTGCTTGGAGAGGCTGGCTCTCTCCACTGCATCCCTCCGTCAATGGTGTGTTGAAAGCCGTTTGGCTGTTTGTCGCTCCAGGCATTAGCCCCCGAGTGAAGAGCAGAGTCTCTGATGAGCATTCAATTGGCGAGGAAAACAAGTGGCATATGGGGGGGCTGTTTGGGAATTATCTTCTCAGCCAGAGCAGAGAAAGAAAGAGGCACTTAGAGGTACCTTGTTCATTACAAATGCATGAGGAATATTTTGGATGTCCTTCTATTTTGAGCCCATACACACAGAAAGAGGGGGAAGTGACATTTTTCTTCAGGGAAACATGGAAATTGGCCATTTTCAAACAGATTACATCTGATTTTGTTGGAGCTCAAGTACCATGTTTACAGTTTTTTCTGCCATACTTCAGTTTAAGTTATGCGGCACCTAAACACAAACACAAGTCCTGCCACCAGCTTGTTCAGGACATATATACACGCAAACAATAATTATATAGCACTACTTCACCACCATCTGCCTCACACCCTCCAGTAACATCATCAACATCCCCTGAGAGTGTGTGTTCTAGTCAGTTTGTTTTGGCTTTGAGACAGATCGACCATCATCACCTTGGTAAACAATTCCAGAAATCCTGTATAAATTATTCATTTGCACAAGCTTCGGTTCTCCTTCCCAGCGCTCCTCTTTTCACCTTCTTCCTCGAGGAAACAGACACGATTCTTCATGATAAAGCACTTTGTTTCCTTCACTCACTCAACAAGTGAAAAATTGGATAAGCATAGCACAACAATCTCAAAATGGCTTCCAAAGGTGAAGCAAAGTCAAGCAGGACAAAGAAGTAAAGCACCAAATGTTCTCATGTGAATCCTTGAGATGAGCTTATCTTTATTTTTTTTACTGGTGTTGAACGTGATCCAACAGAGAGGGCTAATATTAAACTGTAGGCAAGTGATGAACAGAGTCCACAACAGAGAACAGGCAGTAAAAAACCAAAGCAACCCCCACCATACCTACACCAGTCAGCAGGACATGATGCTGAGGCAGCCTAATGAGCTGCACTAATTAAAATCACTTATTGACAGCAAGCAAGGGTGATTACCTCCACCCTGCACTTTCTGCCATCATAAGAGACACTGTCAAAACAAATTACCTCCCGGCAGCCACACAGATCCCTTTCATGGTAACCACCCTGCTCTGCAGCAGCACAGGGGAAATGGGAACCTCAATTACTTTGTGTTTGTGCGAGCACACACCAACAGTGTTTCCATGTAAGGGATATTTATATGTGCATATGTTTATATGTTAATGCAACAACCCATTTTTAACCCAGCTTTGCTAGAGAACAGATTTTGTTAATAACTCTTCAGCACATTAAAATGAACGTGTTATCTAGCCTTCTTTCCCCCTTCTGAATAACAGGGACAGCTAAGGACCGCCTGTTTACCTCTGGCTGATGTCATCACAAACACTTGTTCACCAGGGATGGGGAGGGGGGGGGGGGGGTAATAAATTATTCAGAGGGCTCTCCACTGGGCTTATTGACAAACAAAGGAGATGCACAGGACAAGTCGATTAACCCATTTACTCCAAAACCTCTTCACTCCAGACTCAATCTACCTTTCCTCCCCGCTTGTTTCGTTCACCAGCATCCACCCACAACAGGCAGCTCCACCCCCACCATACAGCCTCCTTATTGTTGATAAGTGGCTGACAGAGAAACTCCAGAATGTGGAGGGAGGTGGGCAGGTTCAGGTCTCCGATAATCAGAAAACACACCTAGTTAGCACAAACACATACACACACAACGCGCCAGCCAAAAAGGCAACAGCAGATGAATTGAGCAGTGTGCTGCTGTTCCAACTGGGCCACCCTCCCACTGATGCCATTAACCTTCTGGATCTCAGGGCCATGAAGCCTCCAACCCCAGTGCTCTGCCTCGCTCACAGACTCCCACTCTAATACATCATACAGCACAACTAATGACACAAGGGCCATCATTCACATCACCTCGGCAAGGTGGGGGTGGGGGGGGGGGGGGGGTTGTAAAAGCAAATGTGATCAAGGTAACAGGTCTGAATCAAACAAATCAGTTAACTAGGAGCAAAATGCTAAAAGTGAAAAAAATAAAAGAATTATGTGGTTTTGAAAACCTAGCTTGACACCTCACGTCACAGAGTCAGGATTGAGTTGTCTGTGGGCTTTGGATAGGCACAGGTGTCATTCTAACCATCTGAAAAGTTGTGCTACGCTATTGTTGTTTGGGATGAAAACTGGTTTCTGATTGGTTCTTTTTTCCAGTCTCTCATTTTTTCCCCGTTTTCTGATTAGATTTGATCAATTTTCATTGTCTCTTATTTGTCAATGCAAATGTTGGTCAACAATCAACAATTTAGTCTTTATTAGCGTAGGTTTCGGACCGATTCCAGCAAGGTGACAACACAAGCTGCCTGTTTACTGCTCAGAGCCCAACATCATCCATGCTGAGTCATCATCGTTTTTTCCCAGCTCTCTTCAGCTAGTGAACACGAGTTGTTGTACTTTCCTCTAATAACATTGTCCTGGATCTTTTCACCTAACCCGGATGCTGAGAATCAATTACAGTGAAAAAAGCAGCTTACTAGGGTTCTTTAAAATGTTGGCAAGCCCAAAAACATTCGTGTTAAATCATCTTATCAACTTGTCAGGTTGCGACATTGTACTTCAAACCAAACTTAAACCTTGCATGATGTAATCGAACTGGAAACCCAAGTTTTACGGTGCGGTTTCTCCTGAGGGCAGATTTCGGTCCAGGAATGTGCTTAATGAATATCCGTGAGCCATCCAAATGAGTCAGATAAACATAACTCTGAAGGTTCACACACTTGCGGTCTATTGCCACTTTAAAGTGAAAATCTCCAAGGTCATTACATAAAGCACTGGTTCTGAACCAAAAGAGCACCAGGACAGATCAGCTGGGCAGATTTTTGTTGGGTTTTAAATGACCTTACCCAAACACCGTCCAATATTTGTGAAAACCAAAAGACCAAGTAAAGCTAACTGACAGATTGCCCAGTTATGGCTGCTACTTCTGATTATTGTATCTGGTAACGTCTCAAAGGTGGTGCAAAATAAACCAGATACATGTTTGCTGCAGAAGCCAGCTCTGCTGTACGGTGGCAGCTGTACTAATGAGCTTTTAGCCTCGCTGGCAATAGGGAAGTAGACAGAAAACAGCACTGACATATACAGTATTTGCACACAAACACACACATAGGACAAACCACTCAGAAGCACACCCTCTCAGATTGTCTGCCAAATACTTCACTTTAATCTTATCAAACCACCCATCAGACAGCAAGCCCTTAGTGTTATTTAACCCATCAGCATTTTTTCCACAGGAAGCCAGAGTATGCATGCCTTCCAAAGACATTATGGCATATGGGTAGGAACTAAGGTCAAGCATGCATGCATGTGTTTACATTCCTTAGACATTAGGAGAGAAAAGAATAAAAGGTTTTGGCTGTTAGAACACCATCGCTGAGATGGCTACATACCTGTTTGTGCATCTCGATGTTGAGACCATAGGACATCTCATAATACTACAAAACAGAGGCAGAAAACAGCATGTTAGTTTTAAGCACATGTTACCAACATACTTACTAGTGTTCCATTAAATTGATTTTATGAGGACAGCAACAAAGGAATCCTTAAAAACCTTCATTTTAACTTCACAATTTGACTGTAAATAAGACTGAAAAAAGCATTTGATTGGAAAGACCATTTTAGACAAGCTTCTAAACGAGAAGCTTCATGTTTCCAAGGAAGCAAACATAAAATCAAACAATAAAAATCACTAATAAGCATATATAATTATTGGCATCTTAAACTTTATGTGAGCCTAAAATAGCTTGCACATATTTTTTTACCTATTTTAGTTTTTATTATCTGTTTTGGACCTTCGTGTGTCTGTAATAAAGTAATTGATTGATTGATTGATAAGGTCATGTGCTTGTTGCTGCTACAGAAACAGAATGCCTGCTTTCTTTTGGAAGTCCCTAAACGCAAAAACATCCTCTGACCTCAAAAACCAGGAAAAAACACAAATCTCCCAGCAGCTGATTGTCTAAAGTTGAAACAATGGATCCAAACTGACGTTTAGTCACTTGTTTGATTAAAATGGGTGACTCCAAGTTTTTCATGCAGGCTGAACATGATAATAATCGCCTGCACCTGTCAGCTACATAAGCTTCTGATAGAAAATCCCAGGAAGAGGTGGAGAATGAGGAACAAACGCATCAATGTTAAAAGTCTCTGAAATACATTAAACAATATAGTAAATACACCATCTTGGACCGGATACATGACTGTAATGGTGACAGGGTACCCCAGAATAGTGTTACGCCCTCTGTTGTCCTGGCGGGGAATTACTTTCAAAAATCCCCAGCTCACGGGGAAGTCTGAAAGTAAAGTATCTCTGTCAGTGCATGTGCAGAGCTGATGGAGAAGTATAAATTATGCTTATGATGCCAAATCCTGGCATGTTAAGCTCAACTTTGTTCTGGCAATCTGATTCCAGAAACAAGCGCACCTGTGCTTTCTTCCACCAGAGTGACTTACAAGGCATTCATTCCTACTAGAGACCACTGCAAATGTATTAATTAAACCAGTGTCACACCTTTCATTGTCAGACCACCTTCTGGCAAGTTAATGGTTAAAATTATTTACATACACACGAGGAAGGCTGCACTGCTTCCCAGATAATGATTATCCTTATTACTCAGTACACAACTGTTCAACTTGGTTTAGCTCACCTGTAAGTTCATGTTTTCAACACCAGGAAAACAAATGCAACACATCTTCTAGGGATGTCCTGTTCCGATATCGATAGTAATTCGATATCGGTCCAAAAACAGTGTACCGGTTATATCGAACGGCATCAAAAATCTCCAATTTAAGCAGTCCCAGGTTCACATTTTTGCAACCAATGGTTAAGAAAAAATTGTCGTTGTTTTCATACTTACTGTTATTGGCTTGTGTTCTCCGATTGAGTAATATCACTTGATCATGCCTTTCATACATTCCACACTACGAAATAGGTAAAAGTATGTATTTGTGCTGATATCGTATCAGATTGATTTAGGTATCGATCAATACTGATCAAATTTTCCTCTGGGATTAATAAAGTATCTTTGATTTGATTGAAGGCTGCAATATCGGTATCGAAAGTGCAAAAGTTGTATCGGGACATCCCTAATGTCTGCTGTTAGAAATGCCTTTGAAGGGCATGTAGTTGCTAAATCAAAGTGTGTTTTCCCACAAAATATCAGATCAAGATAGTGTTTTGTGATTTTCAAGTCTTACTAAGAATGTTGAACTTTAGTTGTAATGTTTTAACTCCTAAAACTGACTATCTGAAACCATTTATTTTCACATATTTCAGTAATTACTGACAGAATGTGGGTGAATAGTTTCCATACTCTCTTCATTTCTAGAAAAACAAAAGTGTTTTAAAATATTAAATTTTTGCACAGTAGGAAGAAAAGTGAAGCGGTGTAAAAGCAATAGATGCGATGATGCTAATGTAACGTTTTTCATGGTCAGAACTGAAAAATTCAGGAGCTTTCTTAAACAAAACGCAAATTCATGGATTAACCAAAAGCATTGGTCTCAAAAAACATGGCTGCTCTGCTGAAAACATGGCACGTTGTGTGTTTATTTACATGAAATTTGATCACAAGTGGCCACTCAGGACACATGCATGATTATGGCAGGTCTGACCATCTAAAGCTGTCAACTTGTGATCAGATGAGAATGAAGGTTTGAAGGAAGAGGGCCTCCGAGTCTGAGAAAGCTGTGGTTGGGACACAACAAAAACACGAAGGAAACCCACTGATTTGTACCCAAAAAATTTTAAGAAACAGCAGAGCAACTCCCAGAGGGTCACAGTGGAGTGTTAGAGTGGGGGTGATGAAGGGTCACAGAGAATTCCAGAGCCACAGATGGGGGGTCGATACGCCCCACAATCAATAGCTGGACATTTGACCCCAGCTAGGGTTTCAACTGCCCCTGCACTCACCCCCACCCTGCACCTTCTTATCCAATGAAAACACAAGAGTGTCAACGATCTAAGAAGCTATTGGGAAAACAACTGGGCTGCACCACCTGTGACTGTTCACCTGAGGCAAAAGGGAGGACATGGTGTTAAATCACAAACCTTACACTTACCATGACATAGTGACGCTGCATTTCTGTCTTCTCATTGGCCAGTTTATCATACTCCACTTTGAGACTTAAAGGAGAAAAGAGTCAAATGTTACCTTCGATGACATTTACGGACTGTCAGACAAAACAGAAATCAAATATCTTATTTGCAGGATCTGTAAATTACATATATTTCTAATGTATTTCAAATAAGACACCTGTTTGAATTCTGAAAGCAGGACAGCGATGATACAATAATTAAGCAAAACAGTAGCAGCTTCCTCTTCCTATTGTTTCCAGGAAGCCACTACCATTTACGGTTGAGTAGTCATTACCTGTGGTACTGGGCCTGTAGGAACTGAAACTCGTCTTTGATCCTATCACAGGACTCCGCCACAGTAAACTTGAAGCCAGGCTGTCCTGGCTGGTGAGGTGCCTGAAAGAGTGTAGATGCAATTAATACAATCGCCACATCTATGCGTTTTAGGTAAATTTAGTTCTTCCTCTCTTTTTGGTCTGTCCTCTCATGACTCGTGACCTTTATACAGCACAGTGATGTTACTTTGTGACATTTGTTTGCTTTTGGAGCACGATCAGCCTGTGACAGATAACCTACCATAAAATGTGAAAAATTACTTAAGCAGTAAATAAACTGCTTCACTAACTTTCACAAAATTCCCAATCCTGTTGCTTATAAACATCTCCTGCCCAAGTGACACGCCTCATCGACGACTCCAACCATAAACAGCAAGGTATAGATCAACGGCTAATTAAGTTATTCTGATCTGTGGGCTGGTTCACTTGCGTCAATTTACAAACTGTGCCAAAAACAGCTACTTACCGGATGCCGGCCTTGTGGATACATGTTGAGTCCTTTACGCAAGGTAATCGACGTGTTTTCCTCCCCCTTTCTTTCTGTAATCCCAGAGAAGGTGCGGTAAATCACCGCCACCCCCTCCCCTGAATCTACAGGATGGCGGTGGACAAAGCCTATTCTCGGTTAGGCGCACTCCCAGACCCCCTACCACTGGATGTATCACCTCCTCCGTCTGTCTTTGTACCTAAACAAACATAAAACGGGTCAGAACCGAGGAAGTGGATCAAGTAAACACCACTTAAAGTAAAAAAAAAGACACAGCAGGTCTACTGTCTAAAATAAATAAAGCACCGGTATCCCCATTAATGCTTTTCAAATATTCAACATGTTACGTCAAATTTATATCCAGTCGCTCCAGTTTTATTTACACCACTATGAGTAAAACAAATTAAATGCGTTTAATCCAGTGCGTCACATAAATTCAGAAGTTTTGTTTTTAATACAACCGCAAAACCCCCAATGTTTTCTTCGCCTTTTCCTCCCAAATTTAATGAGTTTTCTTCGGTTTTCTTCCATAAAGAGGAAAGAACACCCAAATATGTGGAGGTGGTCCGGGCTGCTGCGTTCAAAGTCGGCTACCATAAAGCCACACCACCGCCAACACCGCCCGCCTCGTTAGCGCCTCTCTTCGGGTAGCCCTTTTACCTTTGTCTCGACTGATTCCTCCCTCCTCAGCACAGGTAATCAATATATCCACAACACGACTTAAAATCCTTCACTTCTACCCGTCAGCGGACACATGGAAAGGCTGGAAAACGTCCGTCGTCGTCCGTGTTTTTCATACGCGTCGTCTTCTTCGTTGGCCCCTTGAGAGTCCTTTAAAGCCCGGTGACTCCGAGGCGGAGAGCGTCGCTCAGTCCGGTCGGACGCTGGAAAACACTCCGACTTTAGCGGGTTGTTGACCCGAAAACTTTCAAAGAAAAGCTTGTGTAGATCCAACAGCCGCGCGCAAATCTTCCAGTAAGTCCTTGCACCGAGATCTAGACACTAAAGCAGTTATTTTTGCTAAAAATGTCGACCGTTGTGAAACACCGCCTAGCTGCCGCTGGGTACCCAGTTCCTCCGCCGCGCGCTGTACCACACACAGACTGTGCACTGACACGAGGACCTCACTGCCGAGAGAGGGCCCTGCACCAACCAATCAGACGCTCCGGACGGGTTCAGCACACGTAACCAATCACGGCGCGGTGACCCCACGTGGGAGACACTAGAAAACAGGTGTTTTGATTGGGCAGCGGAATGGGCTTTCACATGGTCGCCATTTTGATGTGGAGTGAAATTTAGAGCGTCAAACAACTTCTTCAAAGCAATGATAAAAATACACAAATACATTGTCTGTCGATTACAGCCACTATACGTACACATATTAACGTTATTATTTAAAATCCATGCATTTAAATAAACAGCGTTAGATGAACTGGCAACTGGGGAAATGTTTTCACAGTACTTGTATCATGTGAAACTTGTATGACCCAAAATGACTTAAAACTATTGAAAAACAGAGTTCACGTTTCTATACTGAATATAATCAGATGCGGAGCCACAGCAATAATAAAGTCCCTCTTATGCTGAGACAAAAAAAACAATAAGGTAGTAAACCGTAGAATTTATAACACCTTAAAATGTTTCGAAGATGAGGGAAAAACACGCTTGAACTACAGAAGAAACTCCTGAGTGACTTGGATTAATCGACCTATTTCTAACGAGACCTCAAGCGTCTACAAGCTTTTCTATCAGCCGCAATAGGAAGTCTACAGCACGTCGGCGCACCAGCACGTCACGTGTCGCTCACTATGCCTGCCCCACGTGGGTCTTACCCACCCACCACACTGTTTTCTATCCAATGGCGTCGCAACCGTCTTCCGTCGTAGCTCGCCATTGGCTGTACGCAGGAAAAGCTGTCAGTCATGAGTCCCTGTTGTCAATTAAACCCACGTTGGGTACGGCGCTGACAAATGCCTGTGCTACTCTCCCTCCTGCCTGCGAACAGTGCCTGGAATGGCTGCTTAATTAGCTTCGAATGGCTTTTCCTTTCAGCTCAAACAATCTGTCACTACCATGTGGTAAAAAGAGCCCTGCATAAAACAAAAGCAGGAAAAAAAGCCAGTAGGGGCTTAAATATCAGTTTGATTCCCCCCTCTTCAACCCCTCCATGAAAACATTTGCTACAAAACAAAGCTTTTACCTCACTCAAACATCGGCTTCTTTCACCCTTCAGTTTCTGCCCTCAATTTCCTCTAAAAAGTGCATGTATTTGTTTATCAGGGCCAATTGCATTTTGATTTAAGCACACGATTTTTAACCAGACTTGGTTAGCCTTCATAAAACTTTGTTTTTCTTGGTTTGTTAAAAAATTTTTAGAGTGACATTTTTAATTTAAAATTAAAAATACAATTTTAGTTGTGATATTTTTTTCAGTGTTAGAATTATCAATTTGCACCAAGATGATTTTAAAGTGCTGGGGTATCAGTACATATTTTATTACAGGCAATAAATCCAATTGTTGCTGAGATTTTTTCATGTTGTAATCATGAATTTAATTGCAAAGCAGGTAGACAGGTTCTCTTGGGAACAAATTGTACCTCTTAGGCCTAAACTCAATTTTGTAACATATCTGAAGCACAATGAGCTCACAAAAGCATTTGGACTGTGGCTAGCATACTGCATGCTTTGGCTGTTGCTTAGCAACAAATGCATTCCCTCCTGCAGATGTGGTGACATCAGTTGGGATAATATCTCATGTACTGAGGGCATGCCAGTGAGTGACACACTCCCTGGGAGACTTTAAAGAAGGGTTTCACACAAAACCTCCTAATGATGAATAGTTCAAGTAGTAGTTGTAACCACACCACTCTGAAACGCTACTGAACAGCACGAAAACTCACTCCACTTCTCAAAACTCACCCCCCTGAGGGAACTTTGCTAGTTCCTATTAGAACTAGACTTTAAATAGTCACTGATTTCCTCCACGAACACCACAGCTCCAAATGTTGGATGGTCAATGTTTTTAAGATAATGTATAAAAAATATCTCAGTTAGCCTAAACAATCCAAGTAACAATATATAATAATTTAACCTGTCAACTTATTTCAAACGTATATAAAATATAAGTCATTAAGTCAATATTTATTTATTATGAGGTGAATAAAGGTAACTTTTAGTTTGGCCTCTGGTTTTTGCACATCTGGCAACTTGACAGCCTTATCTTGCTCTTTCTCAAGTAATATATGCTGTGTTGTGCCATTTGAGCTGCACTGATGTTTGGGCCACTAAAATAGAATTTTATTTAGACTTTTTTTTAAAACACATGTCCCCATTCGCTTACACCAGTGCCCAACTATGAGGTGCTTCTCAATGCCAAGGAACCTTGCCTTGATGTCTCGGTCCCGCCCCGGTTACCTAGGAGATAAATCATCAGGAACGGCCAAGGCGTGTTCCAGTGTTCATGTTCTACCGAGGCGTATTTTCTCGTTTAGCTAGCTGAGCAAGGGTACACGGGATGTGCCTTAGCCTAGCCTTGGTCAAAAATTTCCCAGAATACAGCACTGTACTTTAAAAAGAATGGTGGATCAGGAGCCGGCAGCTACTTTGGGGGCAACTTTCAAGTTTTAAATGTAAGTCAACTAATTGTAGCTGTCGGGCTATATCTAAAATGTATTTTTATATCCAAAGAAGTTATCTATGGTTGGTTAGTTGCTTAGTAGTTGCAGCTTTGGTGGCTAGAGAGTAGTAACTCGCTTACATATTTAATTTAACCAATACATACACAATTCAAAAAGTAAAAGGCTCATAGATTTATTTAATTGAAACTTATACATATAAAATAAAACACCTCACGTGACGTGACTGCCACGGAAGCCATGGTCATGTGATGTATTTCTGTTTCATTTATCCGTTTTCTTTGACCAAGGAAGGACAGTGTCCTCGTAAGCAAGGCGCCTGGCAAGACATTGCCTTGCGAGGCCAGGTGCCTTGACATTGAGAAACACCCATGGTTCTTGGGATCCAACTTCCTGCATATGTGAAATGTTTATCTGCCTCAACGCACCTGATTTTAATCAGTGGAGTTAACAGTCTTCTGCAGAGCATGATGATCTACTGAACTGGTAATTTAACTATTAAACCTGGTGTGTTGGAACTGGGAAATAACTAAAACCTGCTGGAAAGTGTCCCTCAAGAACCATGCTTGGACACTGGACACTGGGCATTAAAGTGGGACATTACAAGTGGCTGCATAGTGTTGCCTTGCAGCAAGAAGGTCCTGGGTTCCAATCATGGAGTTCACATGTTCTCCCTGTGCATGCGTGGTTCTCTCCAGCTTCCTTCCACACTCCAAAAACATGACTGTCAGGTTGATTGGTCTTTCTAAATTGGCCTTAGGTGTTTGTGTGTGTGTGCTTGGTTGTTTCTCTGTGCTGCCCTGCGATGGACTGGCAACATGTGTTCCCCGCCTGCTTGCCCGGACACTGCTGGAGATAGGCCCCAGCCCTCCCGCGACCCTGTGTGGATAAGTGGGTACAGAAAATGGATGGATGGGACATTAAAGGTGCACTGAAACCAGCCACAAGGAGGATGTATTTGTCTAGGAATTTGACAGTTTTGGTTTAAATGTGAGATTTCTTTTAAAAACACAGAAAAGTTTTTTTTTAACCTTGCTGACAGTTTTGTTTGCCGACTGCAAAACTTCCTCAGAGCTGACGCTGATGGTGGCGTCACTTCCTTCTCCATTTATTCGCGGGCAGCAGAGGACGTTGTCGACCTTTTCTGTGTTCTAAAAAGAACCAAAAAAATGCAGTTAAAAACAAGACACAGTAAGAACATACCTATACATAAGTAATAAGATGACTTATTACTTGATATGCACCAAATGTACTTTGTGTAATATGCCGAGTAATAACATTTCAAAGATCAGCTAGTCTTTTTGAACTAATAAATAATCCTTATCTGCTGGCAGACCTTTACATTTTAATACATGAACTGCTCACATGTGTAAAATAATACACAGTCAAGAACAGATGCACGTATTCAGGGGTGGTTTAGGCTCCTTATTTGTGTAACTCCATATTTTGTTTCAAAGCATGTCAGAATCAATGGTTCTCTTCATCACACAGGCTCTTTCTCCACTGCTAGTGCCAGGGTTTTCCTTTTTCCTTCTCCAAGTGTACTGGAGATTTAAAGACCTATAAGTACACAACATGTTCATGTAATGCATTAAATGTAAACTTGCTTTTTTTGCAGTTTTTTAGAGTTCTTAAAAGCAAATAACCAATTATTTAATGTTATCTAGGCCTCTTTACACTAACTCTACCTAAAAATGACGCCAGCATGGTTTGAGGAGGTTTGTTTCATGTTTAGAAACTTGCCTCTCTGAATATAGCTGCCTATTACCACTGGTAGTGCATGTTTCACTTGAGTATTGGTGGCATGTGCTTCAGGGTTGATTCAGTTTTTTGTTGAAATCTTTTTTTATAGCCATTGTAAAATAAAATGATCAACATTCTCTAATATAATAATTTCTTCATGCTTCTGCAGCCTTAATGGACCCAGATGAACTTCCCAGTAAAGATTTGCACATTAATATTCACAAGTAGACAAATGGGATATGAGCTGAAAAAAGACCTGGGTGATCTGAAACCATACCAGAGGATCAAGAAAACCAGTGCACTGCTAAAAGCCACCAGTTAATCAGAAGCTGCAGCCGTTGTTACTCCTCCTCTAGATTTAGTTTTACATCAGAATGCATTCCTTGCCTTGCATATCCCAGCTCACTCTGACGTGAGACAGATATTCAGTAGGGTGGTGCCTGGGTGGGAAGAGGAAGAAGAGCTGTGTGATTTCCAACATCCTCTTCCATTCATCAGACCTGTAGTCAAGTGGCCATGTAGTGTTGACTTTAGCAGAGCTGCTGGTCAGCAGCACAGATATTTGACAGTTTGCTGTTCTGCTGCTGAGTTTCCTAGGACTGGTATGACTGGGCCCAGTGTAAGGATGTGGGTTATCTGGGAACTGGCAAACACAGCGGTGGTCTCCACAGGCTTGAGCCTCTGCTTCAAGAACCACGTACAAACAGACATCATCCTACGGCTTCATCTGACATACGGAGGG